AGAAAACTGGAGAGGGGTTCAGTTCATGGAATCAAAGCCAGAGATTAGCCCCCTAGACCAGTTTCACGCAGGACAGAAAATGGTCACCCTTATCGAAGGTCTGAATCAGATTCAAAACATGAGGACAAAACCAAGCACTTACCTTCACGGCCAGTTTCGAAGATGGCTTCGAAGGTGGAAAAGGGCAGTTCAGCGTCTGAATCAGCAAGTTCATGGGTACCCGGAGTCCCAGACTGGTTTGTAATGCAAAACAAACCTAGAGAATTGCCTGTTCGAGGAGATGTTGTAAACCTAGGCAGGATGATCAGGCCTCCTATGGTGGCTCCAAATAACTGGGTGCTGCTTAAACACCCAAAGACAAGGGAACCAGACATGGTCCCAGTCATCTCAAGATCACAGAGAAGAAAAATTCAGCGTAGGTACACCCAGTATCAGAAAGATCTGAAGGAAAGTGGAGGAAATTCTTCACCAGTCAAAACGGAAGGAAGAAAGAACCCAAAGTCAGGCTATGCTCCAAAGCCAGTTCCACAGAGCAAAGTGGTCTGCAGCCGAGAACAGTTGGTCAAGGTTCATTCTGAACTGAAAACCAGAGAGAAGGCTAGTTTGGTAGGGTTGGAGAAAGCTTTGATGGAGACAGATAGCGAGACCGAAGAAGAAATTAGCATAAGCCAGAAGAAAGAGATCGTGGAGGAAGAGATGTTCGAAGCCTTCATGGCTGAGCAAACGTTTCTAACTGAAGAGCCAGTTGAGAAAGATCCTTCGAAGGGATCAATTAGCAATGAAATACCAGAATGCATCATGCAGGATGTTTCTGAGGGAGTCAACCAAAGTAACCAAGAGGGGGAACAAGTACAGCCAGCCATCCAGTTTGGCTCGTTTCCCCCAGTATCAGTGAACATGGTACACATACTACCACAGGAATTCCAAGCTGAAGATGAAAATCAAGAGGGGCAGGAAGTTGATCCAGTTCAGATCTCTAGTGAAGACCTGCAAGCAAGCATGGTGCAGGATGGAACAAGTACAGCCAGCCATCCAGTTTGGCTCATTTCCCCCAGTATCAGTGAACATGGTACACATACTACCACAGGAATTCCAAGCTGGAGATGAAAATCAAGAGGGGCAGGAAGCTGATCCAGTTCAGATCTCTAGTGAAGACTCGCAAGCAAGTATGGTGCAAGATAATTTCGAAATGGTTACCCCGATGGAAGATGAATATGAAAGTGAGGAAGTGGTAAGCATCAATCCATCGTATCCATTTGAGTACCCCTCGGATTCGATGACGCAGCACGTCAGGCCTTTGTACATCAAGGCTTTCTTTGATGGGATACAGCTGAACCGAGTCCTGATAGACAATGGGGCAGCAGTAAACCTACTCCCGAAATCTTCTTTGAAGAAACTAGGAAAAAAGAATCCCAGGTTGATACCAACCAGCACAACCATTGCTGGTTTTGCTGGAGATAAGCAAATGGCTCAGGGGATTCTACCCATTAATTTAAGTGTGGGAACCAGGGATTGCATGACAGCATTCTTCGTAATCGACAGTAATGCTAAATATAATCCTTTGCTTGGAAGGGATTGGATCCACACTAACAAATGTGTGCCTTCTTCTTTACATCAGAAAATCATGATGGCTGTAGGCAATGGAGAGACAGAGGAAATCGATGCAGATCCTCAACCCTTCATAGCCTGTGCAGACTTTGCGGAGGCTAAATTGTATATTGAGGGAGTGACACCGCTCAGTATACTGATGAAATATGACAGTTCAGCCGAAGTGACGGCTGATGAGGAGGTGACACACCTGAAGCACTTAGTCCAAGAAAGTGCTGATGAAGAGGTTGTCCTTAGAGATAACAATGATGCCTGGTTATAGGCAAAGAGAGGAACCACAAGAAGCCAAGTCCTTGGCTTTGATTAGATTTTCAGCATTGGACATAAAAGCAATAGTCCAGAAAGTTCAGGAGCAAGAAAGAGAGGCCATGATAATTGGCTGCAAACAGCAGAAACAACAGACTAGAGTCTTGACTCTTGGTAAGTATTGTGCCTTGGACATTGAAACAAAAGTCCAGGAGATACAAGAGGAGGAAGCCTTGTGGACAGATTTTGTCTATGAAGAGGAGGGCAGAGATATTGAATTGAAGAACCTGGGGGCAGAACCAAGCTTGAAGATCACTTCAAAGGTAGAAGAAACCAGAGGGAGTTCTCATGCACAAGACCCTTTAGAAGAAGTAAATCTAGGGGAAGGTTCTGTACAACAGCCCACTTACATAAGTGCTTATTTGAATGCTCTGGACAGAAACCAGCTATTGGTTGTTCTGAAAAAATACAGAGATTGCTTTGCATGGTCTTATAATGAACTACCAGGATTGGATAGGTCATTAGTGGAACATAGGCTCCCCATGAAGCCTAATTTCAAGCCTTACAAGCAGAAACCAAGAAGGATGAGTCCAGAAGTAATTCAGAAGGTCAAGGAAGAGATCCTTAGACTCCTCAAAGCAGATTTTATTAGAACAGCCAGGTATGTCGAGTGGCTATCTAATATTGCGCCTGTAGTCAAGAAGAATGGCAAAATAAGGGTATGTATCGATTTCAGAAATTTAAATCTGGCAACTCCCAAAGATGAGTACCCTATGCCTATAGTGGATTTGCTGGTGGACAGTTCAGCAAGTCACCAAGTCTTGTCAATGATGGATGGGCATTCCGGCTATAACCAAATCTGCATTGCAGAGGAAGATATCCACAAGACAGCATTCAGATGTCCTGGGAATATTGGCACCTTTGAATGAGTTAAAATGCCATTTGGTCTAAAGAATGCTGGAGCTACATATCAAAGAGCCATGAACACTATCTTTCATGAAATATATGAATTACCAGACTACACGATTCATAATCGTCTGGTAATCGTCTGGTAATCGTTTGGTCATTGGTTCATTATCTTTGTTTCATATTTTATTTGCAAATTATCATCCTTTGGACCACGAATATATTGCCTTTAAGACTCCGATTCGACAAACTATAGCCATAGATACAAGAAGTTCTTCCTCTGATTCTTCCTTATATTTCGAACAAACTGCTTTCGATCCCTTGATTCAGCAATTTGCAGCCATGGATTTAGGAAAAAAATTCTGCATGGGATGAGGCTACAACTTCTTCATCTCCTGGGGCCTCTGGCTGAACCAACTGGTCAACACCTGAGACTTGTGATTTGAGGGAGCGAATCAATCACCATTTCGTTGAATTCACTGACCTTTTGGAATTTCCTTCCTACGCTCGAAGTTCAGTGGTCTATCCTTATGTGCCCATTGACCAACGACGTAGCTTGGAGGAGAACTTGCTTGTGGCTTGGTATACATCTTCTATGCCTACGAAGATAATGCCTGCTATCCGGCGCTCAGAAGAAGCACAAGGGTACAACCCATCATTCTTAGCCAAGAAGGCGAAGATCTGCTCTTCTGACTGGCTTGCTTATATTAATGCCTTTGTTCCTTCCGCTCCCGCGCCATCTCCTATAATGGAAGCATCCACACCTTCTTCTCCACTGTTTGAAGCAGAACCATCCACTCCGTCTCCTCCTCCTACTTTGTCCTGGACGGAGAAACTAAGGCTTGCCCTTCCAATGGACAAAGTTTTCCCACCTTACCAACCTCCGTCACCCCTTTCTCCAGCCGAGCGAAAGCAAGCTCAACTTTTGCTCGCGGCTTTCTCCCACCTGCCCTTCAATGTTCTTGAGGATGACATTCCTCTTAAGAACTTTCGATGGGCTTGTGATGTCCTGACTAGGGGTTATGTCCTCAACCCTCTTGCCCAAGCAGAGCTTCATTTGTTTTTGGACCAACTTCCAGTGCTCCTTTATTGGCATCGGAATTCCATGGTCACCATGCAATCTTTAGACCAACTTTCGTCTCTGCGAATTCAGGCCCAGTATGAAGCAGAAAACTTCACCGATACCCAAAGGGACATAAGCCAAACAACATATCGGAGATTAATACAACCTTTGAATAAAAGGAATGTGATCTTGGAAGTCAATCATAATGACTTACAAGAATAAGATTGGAGGCATCCAATAATGCAGTACTTGGCTGGTCCATCTTCGAAGGCCAGTAGAAAAGTCAAATTGCAGTCTATGCTATATATGGTATATGGTAATGCTCTCTACAAAAGGGGGGGAGATGGCTTATTGTTGGAATGTCTAGGCCCGAAAGAAGCATTAACAGCCATGGCTGAGGTTCATGAAGGCATCTGTGGTGCTCATCAACCTTGTGTAAAAATGAGGTGGTTGCTTCGAAGGCATTCCTATTATTGGCCAACCATTCTTAAAGACTGTATAGAATATGCAAAGGGGTGTCAGGCATGTCAAAAGCATGGCACAATAAGGCACGTGCCCATAACTGACCTACATGCAGTAGTGAAGCCTTGGCCATTCAGAGGGTGGGCTATGGATATGATGGGAAAAATACACCCACCTTCTTCGAAGCATCATTGTTTCATTTTAGTGGCCACTGACTACTTCACTAAATGGGTCGAAGCTAAGCCATACAAGGCTGTAGACCAAACAGAGGTTATTGGTTTTATTAAAGATTTGATCCATAGATTTGGTATCCCGCAAACCATAACAGTTGATAATGGAACTGTGTTTGATGGGAAGATGGTGAAGTCTTTTGTGGCAGAATTTGGAATTAGTCTTGTTAATTCCACACCCTATTATGCACAAGCTAATGGTCAAGCTGAGTCATCCAATAAGTCCTTGAAAAAAGGAATACAAAAGGTTGTGGATGACAATCCCAGGGATTGGCATAACCTATTGTTGGATGTTCTGTGGGCATATAGAACCTCACCAAGGTCAAGCACAGGAGTCACTCCCTATGCCTTGGTGTATGGACATGATGCAGTCTTACCAGTAGAGATTAATGTTAAAACTTTGAGAGTAAGATGTCAAGATCAGTTGAATCCTGAACAATACCATCAAAGTATGTGCTTAGAATTAGAAGGCATAGATGAAGCCAGAATTTTGGCATTAAATAGCATTCTTTTCCAAAAGAAGAAAGCAGCCAAGAATTATAATAAGAAAGTCAAACACATTGGCTTTGATGAAGGTGATTTGGTATGGAAGACAATACTCCCAATTGGGATTAAAAGCCATAAGTTTGGCAAATGGTCACCTAATTGGGAAGGTCCATATCAAATTCATAGGGTTCTGCCTTTTGGAGCATACCATTTAAGAAATTTGAATGGTTATGTACATCCCAAAAAGATTAATGGCAGATATTTAAAACCTTATTTTCCAACCATTTTGGAAACACAAGGGATAGAGTGAACACCATATGCAAAAACACAAGCTTGTTCAAACAATATTCAAAATATTGTGCTTTCATAAAGAATTAAGTACATTATGCCATAAATTGGCCCAAAAATCATTACAATGCTTTAGTTGTTTTTGTACAATAGCTTTCCTGTTGCTAAGGGTTGGCCCAAAAATCATTACAATGCTTTAATTGTTTTTGTACACTAGCTTTCCTATTGCTCAGGGAAGGAAATAATTGAATAGCTACAGCCATGTCTTCTTTTCGATCAGCCAGCCCTTGATTGGTGATGTGCAGTTTCTTATCAGTTAGAACCAAGGCTTGGTTTACTGCGGCTAACTCCTCTTCGAGCTGAGCTTTCTTCTCCAGAAGTTGGACTCGAAAGTGAGAGGCAGAAGAGTGTTGTTCTTTCAGAGTTGATACTTCAGTATGCACTTGAGAAACAAAACTCTGGTCCTTAGCCAGCTTATCATCCGCAGCCTTAGCAGCATGGCAAATGTTGAGATAAAAATCAATAGTAGCTGCAGCCTGAGATAGATGACTTGAGACACTCATGGCAGACTGCTCAGCAATGTTACAGCATTGAAGGAACCCATTCCTGATGATAGGCCTTTGTAGAGCCTCGAAGGGGATCCTTGAAAAGGAAGTCAACAGTTGCAAGCATGTGTCCAAATCTACTGAAGGTACAAAAGGCTTGTTGCTGGAGGAAGGAGAACTCTCGAAGATTTCCAATAGGAAGTCAGCCAAGGCTAATGGCTCAGCTTCAGCAGTAGAGGTGGGAGAGGTAGAAAGTATGTCGAAGAGACTAGCTAGTCTTCCTTCAAAGATATCTACCTCGTCCCTTGACATGAGGGGCATAGAGAGTGTTGTGGTGGAAGACACAAAAGGCTGCATGGGGATGGGAGAAACAGATGGAGCATCTTTGGCAGCCTCTATGGTCTTGGCCACCAGCAAATCAAGAGAAGAGGGACTGGAAGTGGGCATTGGTGATGAACCATGAATTGAAGGGCTACCAGTGTCTTCTGTGGAAGAATCAACTGCCATTGGGAATGGAGTAGCAATTGGAGTTTTTATAAAGGATGGAGAAAGAGCAAGGCTCGGAGGAAAAGTAGACTGAGGTAGGTTACAAGCCAAAAAAGGGAGGTATGGCTTTAATCCAAGAAAAGGAGATGCAGGAATACTGGAGTCTAAAGAAGGTATGACAAATATAGGCTTTTGAAGTGGAAGCACGACTCGAACAACCCTGACATTCTGCATTTGGTAAACCTCAACCGAAATTGAGGAAGGTCTTATTGGAAAGGTGAGTGCAGTAGTTGTCGCTGCAAAAGGAAGAAATGCAGAACAATGTTAAACTTCAATACCACAAGCTGACAAAGTAAAAAAACAGTAGAGGTAAAGAAATTACTTGTTCCAGAGGCGCTAGTACTGATGGGAGAACTGCGGAGAGAGTAATGTCCAGCAGTCTGCTGCTTTCTTACCATTTCCCCTTGTGTTGCATCGGCAGTAGCAGCTTCCTCTCTTTGCTCTTGCCATCTTTTCTTGGCCCTCTCAAATACAACGATTGCCTTGGAATGTTCTTGTTCGACTGCCTTATGAGTAGAGTCCTCAACATGGTCAGTGACAGGAACAGTCATTCTCTTTCTCTTCTCCCTCGGCAGAGATACAACCAATTCTTTTCCAACCTCCCCTTCTTCAGATCGGGGTTCAGACTCTCCAGAGATAAGTTTTTTCTCCGCTATTATGACGATTGCCTCGCTAACAGGATTTTCAATGGCATCAGATGAAGACACAGCTACCTTTTGTCTCTTTGTTCTTTGTAAGGGTACTTCCTTCTCTGACTCAACCTCTCTTTCTTCTTCAAGAGATTCAGGTACTTCAGGAGGAAGGACTAGTCTCCTTTTTGTTTTTTGTTGTTGTTTCTTCTTGAGAATAGCTAAAGTCTCGGCTCTCTTGGGAGACTCTTCTTGTGGGGACCCTACACCAAAAGCATGAGTATAAGAAAACCAACAAAAGATTCAGAATAAAAGGGGAGGAGAAGAACTTGAAGATACTCACCCTTCTTCG